GCCCCCACGGCTGAAATGGCGAGGATATTTGGTGTGACGGGGATTCGAACCCGCGACCCTCAGATTGCGAGTCGAGCGCCCTAATCACCTGGCAATGCCGGGCTCAGTTAAATGAGACAGTGTCTATTTCATGCATCTTAAGTTTGTTAGTATTACACTTCTGCCCAATTTGTGCCACATTTCGGCATTAAAATAATAAACTTTTCCTCCACATTAATAACATAAAGAAATCTGTGTGTATTCTCACACATTCACCAGCGAAATGTGGAGTGTATTAGAAATAAAGGCTATACTTACTTAATTTTAGATTCTTCCCTTCAAAAATATGAGCTGGATATTACCTTCTTTCTTTGTAAATAAACTGTTATTTATACATACTACCGTTCTTCTCTTCAATAATAGACTTCGTTTCTCCACTAACACCATTCCAGTGTCCTTACCAAACGAGTTGAAGTGAAAGTGAAATATTTAAAATGTGACAATAAAATATTTGACAAGAAACTGAAATTCTGTTTTGTGAAATAGTTCAACACTTAAATAAGTGTGGTATTTTTATTATGTTAAACTAGCTGAAACGGAAAACTATTTTAACAGGGACAGAGCATAACTTAGATGGGAGCGTGCCGGGCTGCGTAGCGCCAGTTCCAATGTTTAAACCCGATATAAACGCTTTTTGCATCTGTAGATGTTCTATAAAATGGCAGTCAATCGCTATTCGATAATGAGTGGTTGTATGTAGAAGACAAGTGCTGCTGGCTGGTTGCTCTCTCTGGTTAGCAATTCTAAATTAGGAATGATTATGCCTAAATATTGAAATCTTTGATGTGGTCATTTAGCACATGTCATCGCATAAGGGGTCAATCAGGTTGAAAATGCCAGAAGCTTTTTTAACATAAGAAAACTAAGGAGTAGAAGACTTGAAAAATAGCTTTAAAAATATTTTGGTCTTAGAAAATTACCCTTTAGTTATTAGGAGAATTTATTTTATTGAAGTGAATTTTATTGATTGTTAAACTATTTAAAACATTGTAGTTAAACCAGAAAATTGTTTGGAAAATAAAACATGAGACACTTTTGTTAAAACGTTCGTGAGAAAAAAAATGTTATTTCAGAAAACGTTTTTAGAACGAGAGAAGAACTAGCACCAAGATACTATTTGTTAAAAAGTTTTTTGAAGTTCTAATACAGTGTATAAGGTTTGATAAGACAGTATTAAAAAAATAAGTTATTTGTTTAATCGAGTTGCTCCGACGTATAATTATGGTATTTAAAGTATATAAATACATATATATGTGTGCGTGTGTCTGTGTATATTTAACTTTCCGAATATTTTGAGTTTTCAAAGTAAACTAAACAACACAAAACCAATTACGACACACAAGGAATACATGATTGTTATTTATTTATTATTTTACAGTTGTACAGTTTTTTTTCAGGGTTTAAGTGACTTACATTGAAAAAGTGGGTCATTAGCTCAAGACAGGTTTTATTTTATTTAAACATGTTCTCTATTTTCTCAACAGCTCGTAACTACAACCTACACAAACATGAAATATCTTAGGTTTTCATTTAATAAAACGTGGCCATCCCACAACAGGTGAAGAAAATGATCCTACAGATAAAATCAGTACTTAACAATAAGTGATTCTTAGATCAAGTTAGATGTTCCCACAAACCCATTTCGTTCTTGTAGTTATTACTCAAGCAGAAATATAGTTTTCCAAACTGCGTTATATTCTTCAGTAATATATATATATATATATATATATATATATACAAACGCTAGGTACGGAGAGCTTACGGGTCATTTGACCATATTTTCAAAACTTTCTAAAATACTTTTTCGATAAAACCGAGCTTCAAGATTTAATCCCTCTCTCCGAACACCTGCTTAGGAACGTTTTACCGTTCTCTTAGTGCGAAGTAAGAAAGTTCAAAGCATTATTAAAGGTTTAGTGGAGAAATTACATGATATTTTATTAAAATAGTGAACTTTTTAGGCCGTTGATGAAGTTGGAGTTTCACAAAATGTTATCGTTTCTGAAGAGTTAACTCGCGTTGCAGTATAGCGCATATAAAGTGGGGCATATAAATTTACTCACATCTTAGTAATGAAAAATAAATGTCTAACTAAAATATCTACTAAGGTTTATGTGTTTGTATCAAATGCAATTTTTATTTCTCTGTCTCTTACAGGTCCACAGCAATTCTTCTCTAATGCCTGACATCGTACTTAATAAGGATTTTCGTTAAAACAGATAGTCATTACACTAAACATCTGTTACTAAAAATACACAGATAGCCGTTAGGCTAAACAATTTTCACTAAAATCAGTGGGCATTTTAAATATTCGCTTGTACATTCGCAATTCTATTTAGGACTATTTATTTACTTTCATACGTTCTGTTTCTTAATAAATAAAGAATACATATATTCTCATTGTCCATGTTGTACTGAGTTACCATTTCTATAACAACTGTCTTGGAACGTCAAAGTGCCTTAATATCTATTTGAAGTGAGTCACAAAGAAACAAAAAGGAGTAGAGAAATGACGTCAATTAATTTTATAAAATAAACATTTAACAACTCGGAATAAGAATATACAGGGTCTGTATTACAACTTTAGGAGTCAGAGGGCATTAAGAATAAACAGAAAATAAGCACGTTTTTCTTACTGTTTTGATTATGAGAACACACATTTTAAGGCTAATAAAGTTTAGAGACGGCTTGAATAAGTAATGAAAAAAACCTTAATTTAAGTAACAAATGTAAACCGTTTCGATGATGACAAAAGCTTTTCGAAACGTTGTATATTTGTTACTGTAAATAAAGTTTTCTTCGTTACCCATTCAGGCCGTCTCTAAACCATATTAGTTTTTTAACTGTGTTGTTGCACTAAGGCCCTGGGAAATTTATCACTTTGAAACATTTCACCGTGTACCGTCTACTTGCTTGATTGGCTTACGTCATCTCTCCATCGATACTTTTCGCCATCAAGCAGGCCATGAAGTTTCGTGACTTGACTCGTATTTTGGGGGTCGTGAGTTCGAATCACGTCATCAAACATGCTCGTCCTTTCAGCCGTGGAGGCGTTATAATGTTACGGTCAGTCCCATCATTCGTTGGTAAAAGACTAGCCTAAGAGTTAGTGCTAAGTAATGTTGAATAGCTGCCTTATCGTTAGTCTATCACTTCGATAATGGGGATGACCAGCATAAATAGCCCTCGTGTAGCTTTGAGCAAAATTAAAAAACAAAAACACGCTATACTTATTGAAAAATCAACAACAGAACCTCAAATCATAAGGCCAGAGCGAGACTCGCAGCTATAAGAATTCCTGTTTAAATATTATTATTATTATTATATAAATGTATAAGCAAATATATATTTATAGCCTACATAATATTGTAGCATTGTTCTTTCGTTGGCGGGCTATTTTGAATTATCTGATGAGAAGAAATTACTTTATTTCTTCCTTTAACATTTCTACAAGCTTTAACACATGCACATTGACGTAAATTGTTGTAGGTTTACGTTGCAAATGACGTTCAAACCTCTTCAACAATACTAGGACTAACGTCACACTCTTAGAACTTTATAAGTGTGCTAGGTCTATCTTGTTAAACCTTTTGATATGAGCTCATCATAAAGAACCACAGTTCCCTCTGACCAATATTTAAATTAGAACATTAAAAATATTACATATAAAAATGTATATAAGCCTGAAAACTTGGTAAAAAATTGGTATGAGATAATAAAGTCACGGTACGTTTTTTATTTTATAATTGTACTTGCTATACATGATGTTAAATATATTAGGTCGGTTATGTATGTTTTGGTGTACAACCATAAAATCGCTCACTTTAAATAACCAATTATATAAAATCAACCTTGTTCAACTGTTTTACGGTCATTATAAGTTTACTGTGATTTTCTTGTTTCACTAACATATTGGTTTCATAGATAATGCCACTTTACCCTTCCTTGTGTTTATACATATAAACAGTTAGAGCATTTTATCACTGTATCGTTAGCATATACCGTAAATTCAAATACTGTAAACAATCGGGTGACGTATTTTACTTCCATGTTCCAGATAAACGAATAAATACTTATGAAGAAGGAATTATTTTTATCGTGTTACTAATTTAGCCTCGTAACATTGCTAATCCAAAACAAATATCTTAATGAATTACACTTAGGCTCTTCAGTGGTTTTTATTTTATTCGTTAAAGAACATTGTCACATTAATTTAAAATGATACAAATATGATTTTTAGATTCGTTTTGGAAAAATATTGCGTCTAACATTTTGTATTTGTTACTAACAAGCGTACGGCCTAATATAACTTACATGTGTATGTAGAAAACAAAACAAAAAAAACAACAAAGTTTAAGTGGTAAATAGAAAATGACAGTTTCTTGGTCCGGTGTTCAAAAATAGTTTATCCATTAATGTTGTAAAATAAAAATACAAACGTTTTGCGAAAACGCTAGTTTGATCATTTTTCAGAAGTTCAATCTGGTTTTTAGAAAATGCATTATACAACTCAGAAATGAATAAGAGAGGGTTGTTTCAATTTGTTATTAGAAGCTGTAATTGTTTGGCTTTGGTAGAAAACATATCTAAATATACTTAAAGCAATTCACCAGGGCAGATTTGAACTAAGTAAGTAAATATTAACGTGAATAAGTTGAAAGTTTACACATTACGTACCTGGTCCTCATCTAGTCTGCTGTTAGATGTATACTTTTTCCATTCGCTGGTAACATTCGAATTTCGAGAATTTTTCTCTTCTTTTAGGAGTTTGAAAAACTCGACAGACACTGGAAGCGCTGTTACAAAGTTTCCTTTTCTGTTTTTAAAGCGCACGTGGTCTAATATTGATAGAGAAAGCATAGTTTGTCCTTTATTTAAAGAAAAATCACCTAATGTGTGTAAAGCGTTTTACACTTTCGGCCTCTGCATTTCACAGTGGCTATCTATCCTCTTGCCGCACGCTTTGATCACAAGGATATCAATTGCTGTATTTAACAGCGTCACCTAGTGATAGACTTTTGCAACTATCTTTCTTTTTCTTTTTTTTACAGCAAACTGTGCTTCAGCTTTGTTCTGGTTTACTGTAGAATATTTTTCTTTTTGAGAAGATTAGAGTATGATTTTATTATTATGTGAATATAATATATTTGATTAAAATGGACAACTGCAAAGGAAATAAATAAACAAAAGTTGTTTGAGCCGCAAGAAATAATAATAATAAAACTAGATATAAACACCAACAACAGATAAGAATCATATGGCAGGAGTCGTAACATGTAAGTAATATACCAGTTTAAAAAAAACTTTACGTAAATAATTACTTTTATTTCAAACACTCCAGTATCTGAGCCTAAAGCTTGCAGAAATAGTTTTATACAAGGAGGGCTATTCTAGTTTTCTTGACTTTGAAACATATTAGTCTCATTCTATGTATCAGTTATATTCATCTTAACCAGATTTTCATATGACCGTTCTCAAAAAGAGGGTTGCTTGAAAATGAATTCATTGCAAACAAATAATTCGTTTTCGTTTAGTCGAGGCCGAGTGCCGGATTGTGCGGCTGAAATTCCTTGGTTGCGTTACTGGCATATAAAATCACGCTTTGGGGGTAACTGGTGCGTTATAAGAGTGACTGTCAAATTCCACTATTAGGTCTGGCAAGAGTAACCCAAGAGCTGACGTTGGGCGGTGTTAACTAACTGCCTCTTCTCTGTAGTCTATCACTACGAAATTAGGGACGGCTAGCGCAGATAGCCCTCGACTAGCTTTGTACAAAATCCAACAAAAACACAAATCGTTCAGTCATGTTATTAGGAATGCGTTAAAAAGAGATGTGAAAGGGAGAACTGTCGTTCTTTATCAATTATACAGTTTGTTAGTCATTTACTAAAAATTCTGCTTAAAGAAATCATGGAAATTAAAAAATTACAACTTTAAAAAATTCTCAAATTTCATTTCAGCCTAGTGTTGTAGAGACGATCAGTGATATTCGCTCATATACAATGATCTTCGTTGTCTTTACAGCAGTGTCAAACAATTATAACTTTTTAGATATACAAGTTTTTCAAGAAGAATGACTGATTCTCTTAATACAACAATATATTAAACACAAATATTCCACAGAAACGTAATCATGCAGAAACTAACTTATCGGTATGATTATCACCCATTGTCAGGAGTTTCTCTATAGTGTTCGTGATTGAGTTACGTTTCAGGATTACTTTATTGGATGCCACCTCGAGATAGAAAAACAATGTGATCTCAGATTATTTTCCATGCTCTAAAGCTGTTTTTTATTGTGAAAAGAAAAGAATAGAGAACACGACGCACATGAAAGTTTCAGCGTTAATTAGAATTTCAGAAAGCTATGATCAGTATATAGCTATAAATAAATCGTCTATTCATAGTGCTGTTTTTCCTTCTTTCAAAATTCACTATGCCTTGATGTTTTTATTTTCAATATCAAATGACTTTATATGAGTATATTAAGCAAACACATCTAAATCATTTGAATATTAAACAAGGGATATTTTGGATAAAATTGCAAAGAGCTCCGACATAGATAAAAGTGGAATTTTTGTCAGTTCTTCTGTGCGCGCGCGCAATAATTATTTTAGAAATCAATAATTAATACATATCTGTCATTCAATAAAATTGCAAGAAAACCTAAAGTTACTTAATACCGTTTCAGTCAGTTAAATAATAGAGAGTTTATACTACAACTTTAAAAAAAATTATCTTATATTAGTTAACAGAGTTAACCGAAGAGAGAACTATAAGCCTTTATGTATCTTATATTAGTTAACAGAGTTAACCGAAGAGAGAGAATTATAAGCCTTTATGTATCTTATATTACTTAACAGAGTTAACCGAAGAGAGAATTATTAGCCTTTATATATCTTATATTAGTTAACAGAGTTAAGCAAAGAAGATATTACTAGCCTTTAGGGCTTTAAGCTCTGTCTTTTGCACTATTTAAAGTGATACATGGCTATGGTAGAACAATAAGATCTTAAATATTGTCTGTTTTGCTGCTTACAAATGGCACATGGCTATGAATAAAGTGACAATTCATTCGGCTTTTAATTGGAGTGACGTTTTCCATCGTTGTGTCTCGGAAAATTTGAGACTATCCAGGACGCCTAACTGTTCCGTTTTAAATATATGTCACGTGTAATGTTCATGTAGTTTCTACTTCAAAATAAATTTGTAATAATTATAAGTGAAACCAACTACCAGCTGAAAAATACTATTCTATAACTCTTTTTTTATCCTCGTCTGTACTATCTTTATATATCGGTTAGAGTTTAATAAAACAGTCAGCTATTTTCGTTCTAATAAACCTTAAAACACGCTTGTAGACAAGAAGACGAAGTTTTTAATTCTCGAAAACAGAAGCAAATAACTCTTATTTCTATAAGATAAAAGGGCATTTTTTCCTGCAGTTGAGAAGTTCCAGTGTTTTCTCATTTTTTTCCAAACTAAAAGAATTTCAAAGCTCTCTAGAAAGAAGAAATCATTACAGTACTGTTGTTGTCAGATCAGAAGAGTTATCTTCACCAGTTAGATACATCTGGTTGTCAGTTCAGAAGAGTTATCTTCACCAGTTAGATACATCTGGTTGTCAGTTCAGAAGAGTTATCTTCAACAGTTAGATACATCTGGTTGTCAGTTCAGAAGAGTTATCTTCACCAGTTAGATACATCTTGTTGTCAGTTCAGAAGAGTTATCTTCAACAGTTAGATACATCTGGTTGTCAGTTCAGAAGAGTTATCTTCA